GAGTCCATCCATGCCAATTAGCAGAAGACGTTCAATGGATCGGTTGCCATCATCTCGGGCCAAAGCGTTCAGCAACAAGGCCTCTGCCCACTTCACTCCATCTAACTTCAATTCTTTCAAAGACGAGCTATGGGTCAAGGCCTCTCCCCACTTCACTCCATCTAACTTCAATTCTTTCAAAGACGAGCTATGGGTCAAAGCCTGGGACAGGATTCCAACGGCCTCCTCCTCCATGTCGTCTTTACAGGCTATTGACAACTCTTCTAATAGAGGAGCACTGTTGATCATGTCAGCCACATGCTTCACCGCACTCGCGTCCTCCCACGCGTGTTCTATACTTAAAACCTGGAGTTTAGAATCGGGATTTCCTCGCAGCCCTGAGGCGAGACTCAACCAACATCTGGCACTCAAATTGGTTTCTAGCATAAACAATTTTTGTACGTTAGAGGAATTCAGAATGCTCCCTAACTGTGAAAACAAGCTCTCCACTTCCGCATCTGAACTCCATTTGAAATCCCAAAGGGATATAGTTTCTAGAACAGTGCTAGATTTAAATCCTCTGAAAACAACCTCCCACTCAGTTTCCGTCAACCTCGATATATCTCCACCAAAAATAATCAGATTTTCAAGAGTATCGCAGCTGCCGATTGCCTCCAGCACTCGAAGGCGCACTTGGCTTCGCCACCCTGTGATCGTCGAGAGCGATTCACTCCTTGGAAAGAACTCCTGAAATTCTCCCCGGAATAATTCGGGAAACCACTTTACAGGCTCGCCTTCTCCTTCCAGACGCCGTATAAGGTCCTGGACAGCGGAGGGAAGCTCCGGTGCCTCATCTGCAGAGTCCATTCCCCGTGTCGCACCACGCACATTAAACGCACCTGCACCTTCCATTCTCTCCTCCGCTCGCTCAGAGTAAGAAACGTTTGCTGCTTGGCATGCGCGAGCGCAATGTCACCTGGCCTACAGGGGCCCCTTCTCGATCTGAAGGACCGGCTCACCCGAAGAGAACTAACTTCCCGACCCAGTGTTACAACTTGTGTGCATGTGCGTGCTGGCCATGACACTTCTTGCACTCTGCACGAGGACATGCACAAGATTAATCTTAACTCTGCAAGGAATCGGATCAAGAGCAATCACCACTAAAGCAGGGAAATTGTGCAAGCTGGAAGTAAGAGGCTGCTTGAACTCAGTGCAGGGCAAGAAAAAGGATTGGAATCAAATGAATGCAGATAATCAATATTCCGGATCCAAAACAGATCGTAGAGTGTGTGCAAAGGGCATGCAAGCTATTGTGAAATCGAACGGAGAGATCTCTTTGATTTGCACTGGTGACCCAACTGAGTGTACAAGCTAAAATATCTGCAGGTGAATTTGAAATCCAAAAAATTGGTTCGCAGCAAAGATGGTGCGATGTAGACTCAGTATGTCATGGAAAGCATGGAATCGGAGATGTCCCAGATGTGAAGTACTCTGCTCTTTGTGTAAAACTCCATGTACAATTGGACAGGGAGAATGCGAATCTAGCTGCATCAAGACCCAAGGGAAAGACAGAGACTCCGAAGGGTAGCGCGTAGAAATTTGCAGCTTGATCATCAGATCTTCTCATTAAATTGTGTGGATGATCGAGGTAGCGACAACATACGAACACAACAAGCGTGTTCCTCCATACTCGGTCTGATTGGAAAGTGTTCTTAGAGAATGTCAGAATAAGTCTTGACTTTGTTGTGCAAGCGAACGTGATAATTGAGTGAATGCATCAGTGTGCTGATACACTCGATGTCGTTACGCGGACAACAGAGATTTGAAGAATCTTGGATCTATTCAAGCAAGTGGATGTATTTTGACAACTGAGAGGCACGTGGGTAGTAAGCTCGGTGGGCAAAGTCTGTTGTGCTCTTTTTTTGCTTTGAAGATCCGTAAAGTAGGCTACATTACTATGCATATCTTGTAGGTTAAGAAAGTGATAAACTTTGTGGGAGTCTTTTAAGCATAATGTCGAAAGAATGGGTACGAGGACTCGAGGTTTTCAACTGCTGGTATGATTGTTCTTCTACCTCAATTGTCAAGCATGCACAGTTCTAACACCAGTGTCTGGAGTTCTTTCAACCTCAAACATTGAAATGAAATCAGATTTCGTCCGTGCTAAGAGGACTCCTGCTTGTTTATCACGGCGTATAGAACACGACAGAACCAGCATGATTACTTGCTAAGGTCAACATCCATCCTCTCAAGAATTCATAATTTTCTAATCTGCTTGCAATAGAAGAAAAACTTTCTAGTATACATGAGATGAAAAATAGCTCATATGCTAAATTTTAGATAACAATGACTTTAAACGAGATCTTCATCTCGTTTAAAGTCTAAAGGGTAAGACAAACTTACATGCAAACTGCAATATCCGATATTTTAACTCAAATGAAACAAGTAATATTGTAACTTTTGCACTCGTATGCTCATATCATATATTCCAAACATGTCAGAGGAAAAGATGAAACCACATTGGTCAATTGATAAAATGGTTGAAACGCGAAAGTGTTAAGTCATGTCTTTAGTACTCTCTCTTTTGTGTAAAGCACATTCGTTTGAATTTTTGTAAAAAAATATAAAATTGTCTTTTAGTATCTTTCTATTATATGTGTAGTATAGTTAGAATCTTTCTTTGATGATACGTCAAATCTGAAAATGTTTAGTCATAAACAATGTGTAATAATTTGTTTATGTCAAGACATTATTCAATGAAAGTTACAGTTTTACATTTTATATAAATTTTCTTCATAGCTTTAGAGATTTTGACTCTTTATTCTTCAGCTGTTTTAGTTATTTTTAAATTTTTATTCTTTGACTGTTTAATGTAGATGCATCATCTACATTAATGCAATTGAATAATTCTCAAATAGTACAACTACATAAATGAGATAATTGATGGATGTTTACATGTTTACTTGTTCCAACTTTATTACTAAATTTGGAACAAGGATTTGATATTTCCATTGTAAGTAATTTTTTAAAGTTTCTATTAACATACCTACAATAAAAAAAACTCTTGATGCATATTACATTCAAGTTAAACTAACCCTGAAGGGATCAAATGTTGATGAGTAAAATAAATAATAAACGCTTATAATGACTCCCTATTTGTTCTTTCTTTTGGGTAAAATTTTATTCAAATATTAGAAAGAAATATGTTATCTCAGCTTACATGACATGTTTTCTTTTCTACTTTTTTTCCCATGTTTCCCTATTTACTTTGTTTAAAGGATATTCTCACTATTGATACTATCCAGAATTTTTGGATTCTGCAGATTCCTCAGTGCTCCAGAAACTTATATATAATTTGAATTCTTCAACTCCAACAGTAAATTGTTTAGCAGACTCTTTCTTACTCCCGCCTTGTATTGATCCAGTTCACTTCACAAAAGAAGAAAGTGAAGATGCTTGATTGGATGCTTTTGATTTTGGATTTATTGCAGTATACTAAAGAAGAAGGTCGTTGATGTTGAGTGTGTAGTACTCATCCACATCTAACCCTCCGTCCACTTCATAAGAATCAATACACGATCTCCTCACAGAGATATAAGATCGTCTCCAACTTATGCCATGATCTGCATAATCCTAGCGATTATGCAGATTGCTACAGTCTGTATCTTCAAAAGCAATCCTCACTTGTAGACGTTTTTTTTGTTTTTCAAACAACCAAGAAAAGTATGTTTTAGAAGCATCATCTTGGCTGGCTTGTTTATTTTTTGTTAAAAGTTGCTGTGATATAAGATAATCGGATTTGTAAATGGCACGACATCCATTAGACACTATTCTCACAAGGATACTTTTGATTTTATTGTGGTAACTTATCAAACAAGTAAAACAGACAAGACAATGGCTCCACTGTAAAGTCTAACTGAATCACGTCATCAACTTTTTATTTTTTCTGAATACAGTTACAACGCACGGTACAATGCCTTCACTGCAGAGTCCAACATAAACACATCACTCATTAATCTTTTTTTTTAAATGCATTTCAATCCGAACCTCATCTCAATTGATGATTTCAGGACAGAAGCTTCCTTATTCCTTTGTTTTGTTTTATTCAAGATGACCACAGCAGTAACGTTGACGTTAGAAACTGGTATATACTCTTTCGTGGGTTATCCGTCTGAACGCAGGAAGTGCCAACCTCATCGTCTCAGTTAAACTGAGCATTTTGTTCATGGAGATTGGTGCGACTAAGTAGCACCATCCTCCAAGAGGATGAAACATCTCCTCTACGGGTGAATATTATCAAGCTGCTGGGATACAACAATAGTGAAAATCAAGCAAAATCGCATAGATTAGCACAAGTATGATGTTGGGGGTGATTAATTAAAATGCTATGAAACAGGTAACATCTCCAAACTGTGTTCCACCAGCAACTCTACATCATAAGTGACGGCCATCTTGATGTTTGTTCTTCTGGAATGCAGTGTACGGTTCTGAGGAAAACATTATTCACCATGTGGGAATAATGACAGCCCTATGACGCTGCTGAGTTCGATCGAATTTAATCTCGAAACATGTGTCATTGTGACATCGAGGAAATAGTTTCACGTACAGCACCTTCAAACAGACTTGATGACGTGTATGTTTCACATTGTGACTTCTCAGACGTGTATGTTTCCCAATATTCACTTTCTCGGATCCGTGCTCATGTCTACGATCAAATCAGGGTCGAAGAATTGCTCCAGTAAATGGTGATGGGTGACTTCCTGCAATTTACTGAATTGGGCAGTGCTGAAGAAGAAATTTCTTGGAAGTGGTACAGTGGAAACTGAATACCTCTCTCGAATCTTCAACACATTTTCGTGTTTTGATTTTCCGGGAGTCCATGGTGGACCGATTGATTTTGCTAAATTTGCAAAGGTAAAATGAATGAACATAAAGACAGAAAAAGCATGCTGAGTTCGTGGTGCTTAGATGACACACTACTCACCAGTTCAAACCTCACCATATCATCAATCTTGCCACCAGAAACAGGTCTGCTGCCGGTTCTGCAAATCTGCACTGCCAGGCACGCCGATTGCAATGAGTTGCGGAGCTTAGCAAGCAAAATGTCTCAAAAAATGTATTCTAAGGAAGACTTTACCGTACCTGATCTTAGCGTGGGCACATGTAAGAACTTATGGACCTCTACTACCGCAGCCTCGAGATCTATCCCTTCTTAACAAACTCCCTTGCGCACAGAATTTACACCAGACAACCACGCTGCTATTAAATCAGCAGTTCAATAAAAAGCAGATAAATTGTTATGATTCTTTCACAAATAGTACCCATCAGATGAAATTTATCACAGATGACAAAGTTTGACTGAGGTGCCGATCGCAATGATGGGATGGCGTCTCGCAGCGACTGTCAGCCGACGTTGGTCACCAAGCTGTGTCAATTTGGAAAGCTTGGACCTCAGCTTCAGCACGTCGCACGTCGCAGCTGGTAAGATTTGTCGACACTTGGTGGGTGCTGTGCTCGGGAGTCTTTCTCGTCAATATGATTGAAGATGCCCTATGATTAGATTCATGGCATTTACTTATGATCAGTCTTCGACCGAAGGTGAGAGTGGATATTAGTCTGCTGCGAGATTTTCCGTAGGATATCCGTGCCTCTTCTGCCTCAGCTTGCCACAGCCAAAATGCCCAGATTTTTAGAAGCCCAGGCCAAGATGAAGATGGATATGGCAAACGCTTACGGCAGCGAGAAGGTCGGTGGTTTGACTGGACTTGGTGCCTTTGTGCGCTGGTCGAAATTCTAGGATGCTTAGCTCGCAGAGTTGTTGGGGTACAGGTTCTTGAGAGGTGGACTCGCTCGCAGGCAGCCAGTCGATGTTTGTTATGCATTTTGCCATGTGCATTGCATTTCCAGAAACCACCGCTCCGAATTATTGACCTTCACGTCGACGAGCAGCACGCAGCCGAGGCCGACCACCATCATCAAAAGGATCTGAAAATAACACCACGCGGGGACATTGTAGCACGAGAAGGACGTTCACCAGCAGTGGCGTATTATCCTGATGTTCCCCACCACTACCTCACGCACGAAGACATCAGCCACGCGCAGGGTTCTCTAGATATCGGCCCAATCAAGAGACGAGTTCCGATCTCACTCATGAGGGGACGAACGCAGCTGAACAGGCGAGATCCACGAGCGCCATCTTACGCATTTCGAGGTGTTCTGCCGAATGAGTATCGACAATGAAAAGCGGGTTCCCTGTGGATGTGCCCCACCTAAAGACCTTCTCCATGTTTCACAGAATTTCCCTCATCGATCGGCCTTCCAGGACCCTCCCTACACATGCATGAGCCGTGGTTTTTAGAAAGGAAGCCTGATAACGATTCTGTACGACGGACCCCTTTTGAGGTTATATTCTTCTTGGCAGTAGGTATCATAACATGTTTTCCGCAGCCTCATCGTCGCCACCAGACCAGTGGGAGTAGCTACCACCCACTCATGTTCACGGAATCCCTTCCATCGAAAAGTAAATCGCAATTCTCGTTCTTATCCACTTCACACGGTCGCTGAACAACTGTACATGTTAAAGATGCCCTTTCTTCCGTTGTTATGGCTCCAAATGCATCTGCCTGCGTGTACTTGAGAACCAGGCAACCTCGATTTCCAATCTATGCGCTGACGTCTGTTTTTATCCTCCGGACTGAGGGAGCCTGAAACATTTAGTTTCCTGTCGACTTTGATCACCTTCGAAGGGGTTAATGAAATATATTGTTCATTATTTTGCTCATTGGCTTAATTTAATGGATCATATTTTGTTCAGTGGTTGTGGTTGATTTCGACACCTAATGTTTCTTTGAGAAACGGATTTGGGAAAGCATACATTTGCAATTGGTACAGAGAAAAATCTATCGACGGTGAAATCTGATTTGTGCACACGCTTGCTTCGGCACCTCAGCGTAAGGCAGATATTTCCCGAAGCTGATGATTTGCCCAATCTTCGGCCTCTTGTCGCCGTGATATTTAGTATTATATGTATTCATTATGTCTCCGATCCACTAGCTTCAGTAACAAGCTCGACGAGTAGGGCACGAGTGACAATCGCAGAAGCGACAAGCCTTCAACCACCATCGGGAATCCGCCCCTACGGAGGTCTTCTCCAGAGGAAGAGACGAGCAACTTCACGCACCACTAGGCACTAGGAGGTCGAAAAAGTGATTTTGGACTCGGAGCATCTGACCGACTCCCACTTTACTATGGTATATGCTATATGAAGGATCAGATGTGTCGCACGTGCAACATGGGTTTGAAGACCGAGGTTTCTTTCCACTTCTTGATCCGTGTTGGCTTCACGCCAAGTGAGACTTTGTCTGGCGATTTGTACATTTTAAGGCGTATCGTAAATGATTTGATCTGGGGTACTGCGGGTCCACCATACGAAAGAGTGCTGTACCTTTCGATCGCAGGTGTCTAGTTGGAAGAAGACATCGATAGTACAGCAATCGATGCCTTCTCCCACCTTGATCATCGTGTTAGTCTTTCGCTTTTCTTCTTGATCACACTGATCCATTCTCGTGAATGATCTTAAAAGGTGCAGCAAAGTGTTTCAGCTTCGCTGTATTGACCAGAAGACATATCGCCTGTTGCTTTCGGAAGTTGGGAATGCATATAGCGCTACCCTGTCTCGCCACCGACCCCCTGGACGGACTATTTGAATAAGTAGCTTTCTTGGAATCATGAGCTTGACTGAAGGTAATTCCGAATTTCTGCTCTTTATGGACGCCATTGTAATGTCAATAAAGCTTGCATATGTAGCGCTCTGGACGAACGGAGTGTTAGGGTTAGAGGGAAGACGGTCTTGAAAGCTGAGCCAAAGGGTGCCCAAGCCTATCGGGACAAGGTTGGAACAAGGTCAGCGCATCTGGTCAAAGTAGACAAAGTGTGGAGTCCTACACATTATGATGGCTGTGATTATTTGGAGTTACTCCTCGTGCAAGGTGACGAGACGGTGATTTTATGTCATCATAATTTGGCTAGATCGTGCTTAGTTTTGTTGTTCCCACTTGAGAATTCAGAGCCACATTCGGCTCCAGGAGAAAAAAGACAATCCTCGGGACTTACCGAAAATATATTTTTCTGAAGAATGCTCTTTGTTGCTCTTCCAGGATTGCCCGGTTAGCTTCTCAGTTTGGGGATCAAACATCCTGGTCATGTTTTTTGTTTGAGGCATTTACCGTGGTCGATTACAGTAAGATAATCGGCAACGACTGGATTCGGAGCGATAACATTCAGACGCTAACGAGGGTGTTCCAGGAGTAGGAAGAAACCGCGCACTCACGATCCTCTGAGTCTTGTTGTAGAGCTTTGCAAAGACTTCTCGTGGTTGGTCTTTGAGAGAATCTGAATCGGTTTATTGAGAATTGGGAGACCTGTTGCCAGCGGATGGTTGCTTGAATTTCCACTGTTATGGCAGGAGATGAAGCTGCTTCCAATGCAGCAATGCCGATTCACAGGTCGCCATCGAGACCCCAGCTCGACCTAAGTGGAGCAGCAATACATGGCTCCACCGACGACAAAAGTCCAGCAATTGTTCTGCCAAACCAGAGCGACGAACTTAGCCATTTTGCAATTGATATTGGTGGTGGGTACTTCAACTATTTGGTTATCTGTCTCAGTTCTAGTTTTGGCTTCAGAGAACTTGGACAGCATTCAGTTGGACCGTCCTGTGGATGACTTCGCGAGTGGGATGTTTATCAGGTTCATTGGTGAAGTTAGTCTATTTTTCCAGGCAAACGGAGTCTTCTCTTGTTTGTGGGTCCCCTCCACATAAGGTACCCGGTGGAGAAGATCGACAAAAGGAAGCCTACTATGATGGTTGGCGGAAACATCCAATCATGGGTGGTCGACTGCACTTTGTAAAGTTTGAAACCTCCAAGCTGAATGAGTGCTTGGACTTTATTCAGCAGAAAAAACTACACTGCTCGAATCCTGAAGGTGAGAAATGGAGCGGGCTTGCCAAATGCTACGCAGTGACTTCATAGATCACGCATTTTTTGTGCTTTTTTTTTAGATGCACGAAGAGTCTATTTCATCGATATTCCAGCTTTCTGCTATCAAGGAATCTAAAATTGATTGTGTGAGGCAGTAGACGGGAGGAAATTTATTCCCATGACATGTCATCCTTTCTAATCTTCGCTTAATCGTTCCAACTTTTGGCATGTTGACAAATATCCGTAGTATACATGTGTGTTTTTTCAGGTCTCTATTTTACAATTTTGAACAGAATAAAACTATTACCTGGGACTGAAACAATATCTTGGATCTGGTACAAGTCGTTAAGTGTGCAAGAGATGTTGCACTTCTCAGATTTATTTTGGGGGATATTCTGTTTGCAGATATAGGTGGCCTGGAGTCACCAGCAGCTGCTAATGGAACCAGGCAAGGAGCCACCATCAAGGTATTGCAGCAACTGAAACGTCACTCCCTCGTTCTCTGGCATTCCAGCTCTGCCGTGCTTTCAAAAGTTCAATGATATTCAACTCACATACAATTTTAACTCTGGTTATGAAAATTGGAGTAGACAGCCTTTGCCGTCTTAGACAGCCATGCTTTAGGGATGTCTCTATGTTTTCCTTTGTTTTCATATGTTCCTCCTACTGCTTGATTTTTGGTACGAAGAAAGCCTTTGTCCCAGTTAACCATTTTCAGGTCGTAGCAAAAGTGCCACTATTTACGTTCATTTTTTTAATAAGACTGCTTTCTTATCTTAAAAGTTAACATATATTCAGTATTTTTTACCAATAGATTTTATTTTCATAGTATACGGGATTGATATATGTGCAATTCTCTTCGTTTTTTCTGCAAGGCCACAGGTGGTGGAGCCTTCATGTTTGCTGAAGTTTTCAAAGAAAGACTTGGAGCTACACTGGACAAAGAGGACGAGATGGATTGCTTGGTCGCTGGAGCGAATTTTTTGTTGCGAGTAAGATTATTACTAAAAACTCTTGAGTCGGATCATTATGCCTCTACACTATGGGAGGCATCGGGTACTTTTTTTCTCATTAGCCATGTACACCAACCAACAGTCATGAGCATGGTCTTGAGTTTCATTTGCAGTCACTCGTCACAGCCCAGACATGAGCTTCATATGAGATTCCCATCTTTGGAAGGATCGTATTTTTTATCATTTGCTCAAGTTCCTATGTAACAAGCTACACCGTTGTATTTTAAACTATTTATTTCATTTTTGCCGAGAATGAACACCTTTGAAAGCCAGGGACCTCATCTTATAAGTATTTGCCATTGAATGTACAGGCAATACGCTATGAAGCTTTTACGCACTTGAAGGGACAGAAGCAGTTTGTGCAAATTGATCGCAATAAGTTATATCCTTACCTTTTGGTCAACATCGGTTCCGGCGTAAGTATGATCAAGGTATTGCAGGCTTGGTGCAAATTGACGCGACAGTTAAAAAAGCATGATAAAAATCACAAGTCCAATTTTGCACCTCCCTCGGTGCCTTCACAACTCGGATGTAGCTCGCAATGTCGAAGAAGTGCAGCAGTTTTATCCTCTACATCAGATGCCAAGCTTGTTGATACTCCTGAATAATAGGTGATCTTAGGTGGATGGATTCGGTATGGGCTGGATGAAGTGTGCAGGTTGATGGAGATGGTGTTTTTCAAAGAGTGAGTGGGACGAATGTGGGTGGCGGTACTTTCTGGGGACTGGGCCGGCTTTTAATGAAGTGCAAGACGTAAGTGGAATTTTCTTGGAGCCCATTATTTTTTACCCTCCATACATCACCTCAAATGTAACCTGATTTTTTTCTTCATATATTCGATCACAGGTTTGATGAAATACTGGAATTGAGTCGGGGAGGGGACAACAGCAACATAGATATGCTCGTTGGAGATATTTATGGCGGTCTTGATTATAGCAAGGTATAATTAAAAGTATGATAGTCTAACTACCTAGGTCTTGGAAGACATAGGTAGTTGAGAATGGATGGGGCTGTGACAGACTTCAGGTGAATTTGATGCTGCAATCCTTTCCCTAGACTTGGTTGGAGGTTATAGACGAATGAATCTTTAGTTGCTTTACGTGGTTGACGACGTTGTTTGTGCTGAAACGGCATCTACTTGATGATCTTGACAATGAAGATCAATGACAAAGTCGTTGCAAACTTTTCTGTATGCCTTCTCTTAGCCTGGGGTTAGCTGTTTGCTATGAAAATGTGTTTTTTTTCCAGGTTATCCAAAAGCCTAATACACGGAATTTGTTTCACCTTACGATTTGCGGTGGAGTTTCAAGAGAGTGATCTGTTGTGCATCTGGTGCAGATTGGACTCTCCTCCACAACTATAGCATCAAGCTTCGGCAAGGTGATCTCGGGCGACAAGGACCTCTCGGAATATAGACGAGAAGATCTTGCTCTTTCTCTTCTCCGGATGATCTCGTACAACATTGGACAGGTTATGCTCCTTCTCTGTTTAAGCCTAGTGTGTCTCGAAGTAGAGCATACCAAATGCAGTATGTCATTCTGTATCTAATATCTCGTAGAAGAAAGCCAAAACTTTGAAAGATGAAAGACGTTGAAGTTTAGTACTTAGTTTTACGTCCTCGAGGGCTTCATCGTAGAATGAACATGGCGTAAAGAGGACTATGGCATCATTTGTCCCGCGGGCAGGATATGGGCATTAAAATGTACTATATCTCAGATAAAACTTTTACAGGGTAAGTGTTGTACTCACCAAGATGTATTTACTTCTGCTACAGATCGCATATCTGACTGCTCTTCGGTTTGGGCTGAAGCGTATCTTCTTTGGGGGATTTTTCATTCGTGGTCATGCTTACACAATGGACACCATATCTGTTGCCATCAATTACTGGTAAGATTTTCTTCTAAGGTTGTCTTCTGAATTATTCTGAATTATTGTGAAGGCTCCAACAGATAATGGCCTGCCGTCTATCACCTTTGCCGAAGTTTGTCCTGCATGGTTATCAAGGGTTTGTTGTGTAATGCACACAAAATAATATGGTCTTCTTCTGCAATCTTCCTGTTGCAAGCTTTTCCCAACGCGAAAACTGTGACATGTATTTCTCAGCCTCTATTCATGGATTCTAAAAAGAAATTCATGGCTTCACGTAGTGACTTATTCCATATCGGAAGTGACTATGAGTAGCATTGATGCGCTTATGGAGATATTTGAATGCATCACTTGTTTCATTCGCAGGTCAAAAGGAGAAGCTCAAGCAATGTTCTTGCGACATGAAGGGTATTTGGGTGCACTTGGAGCGTTCTTAAGCTATGACAAGCATGGCCTTACCACCTTGACCTCACATCAGTGTGTCGAACGATTTCCAATGGGTGCACCTTATGCAGGAGGAGAAATACACGGTCCTCCAATTCGAGACCTTAACGAGAAGGTGCATTTGTCACGTTTGTCTGATTCATCTTTTAATTATGTTTCTCTTGCGGATATGTTAGCTCCTTCCATTTTCAGTTTCTTTGGCTGGTGTCAGCTCTGTAATCAATTATTTTATAGCTGACCACTGAAACTATGCTGCCAATTGCAGATCACCTGGATGGACAAATTTATCAAAAAAGGCATAGAAATTACAGCACCCACACCAACAGCAGTCCCTACTACTACAGGACTTGGTGGATACGGACGTCCACTGTCACGAGCCCTGTCGTTACGCTCAGACTCCAGTGCAGCTCTTAATGTTGGTGTGCTGCACTTTGTCCCATCGCTAGAAGTCTTCCCTCTCCTTGCCGATCCAGACAAGTGAGTAAAGCATTCATAACGAATTGTGGGTTCGGATATGTTGGAGGTGAATAGCTGAATGGAGATCTATGTCACCGCTAGCTTAGCTATGGTTAGCCAATGTTCTAGTTGCTCAGACATCATCACAATTTGCTTAAATTCTTGTCTTCCTTTAGAGACATATGAAGGAAGTAGGAAGTAGTTGGAGGAGGAAGTAGTTGTCCTATCTTTTCAACTGCAATGGGCACAATCTTTTCAAGTTTCAACTCTCAATGGGCACAACTCTCAATGGGAACATATTTTTCAGATGTAAGTTAGTGAAAGATTTGTGCTATGTATTCTTGAGTATTGTAAACCCTCTGGAGAAATTTAACAGGAACACGTCTTTGCTGTATTTCAGATATGAACCAAATACCGTGGACCTTAGTGACTCAGTGGAGAGAGAGTAAGTAATTGGCTGGGTATCAGGATTTCTGAATCGTGAGATGGCAAAATGGAAAATACTTTCAGGCCAGGACACAAAATAAATATAGAACAGAAATTGGACTTCTCTTCAACATACATGACTATCACAACCAGACAATTTTACCCTTCGTTTCTTTCTATTTAGTCAAGCTAAGACGTCACCCTCTTTGGGTTTCTAATCATTGCAACACTGACATGTCGTAGGTATTGGTTCAACATTCTCGCAAATCATTTGCCAGACCTTGTTGAGAAGGTAAGTTTGTCTTAAATCGTGTGACTGCATTTGTTTGTGAAACGTCCTCCTTCTATACTTCTTGTAGCTTATCTTTCTGCATAAATTCTTTCGCATGAATTTTCCTACAAAAAGCTCCTTGTGTGGTTTTTGTCCTGAAGATCATTTATCATCCTTACATCTCGTTTTCAAAATTGCGTTTTGTACAGAGTTTTCTCTCTGTATTAAAAGTCACATTCACGTGATTTCTTAACATATATGAGTTTAATCAATCACAGGCAGTTGCTAGTGAGGGAGCCACTAGCGATGCAAAGAGAAGAGGAGATGCATTTGCCCAAGCTTTTCGCGCTCATCTTGCAAGGTGTATAACATCTGCTATTTGCCGAACATTTAACACGTCAAATTCATAGTTTGGGGGAATCTTGTGTTTACAGAATACAATTCAGCAGCAAGCAGATCTTTTTTATTTAAGTAGCTATTGAATATATTCAACTTGCTTTAGATTACTTCGTAATGGATCTCATAAGTATCTTCTTTCACATTTCATCCTAAGTCTATCTGACAATTTAGTTTCATCAGAATTTAGGGATGTGAAACTCTAGCTCACTGTTTTCGATGAAAAGTCCTTGTCTTTCATGAAGAGCGACAGTGATCGTGGCTTTCTTGTCTCAGTAACTTAACCTCTAATTTGTCTGAATGGGCTGTCTGGTGAAGGTTTTTCGATCTCTGCACTGAAATTTTACTTCTCAAAAGTCAGGCTTCTAATGTTCATTATTGCATTTGATCAGACTTAGTGAAGAACCCGCGGCCTATGGAAAATTAGGTCTTGCAAATATTTTTGAGATGAGAGAAGAATGTCTACGAGAGTTTCACTTCACAGATGCATACCGAGCCATCAAAGAAAGGTAGATCCTCAACCATCTCCATATGCATCATCTGGTCTGTTCTTATTGAGTAGATTTTTCGTCTACTCAATTGGAACTGAATATTATAGGAGAATTCTGGATAGGCGGTTTACGGAATTAAAGAATGCAGAACTAATGTTCTTGTCTTGTTTAATTTGGATTTCATGGGATATCAGAGAAAATGAAGCAGCTTTGGCAGTTCTACCTGATCTGCTTTCAGAACTCGACTCCAAGACACCTGTATGCAAGAATCTTCCTCCTTCAACATGTTTGCCTTGCATTGTAGACAATTGAAGCTTCCATGAGGAGTCCATTAGAACTGTAATTCCTCAAGTTGTATTACTGTTTACCAAATGAAACAACATAAATTTGCCAACCTTTCAAGTCAAGCCTTGTTTACAGTCAATAGTTGAATGTCTTCGAGAGTCGATCGTCTTGTCGAGTCCTTCAGGTGGCAAAGGCTGTTGTTATTTTTCCTGGGACTTGTTTCAATAGGACAGTCATCTGGGCAGTCTGCAGTTCGAAGACATTATCTAGTTCAGAAAGTGATACTTGTACCAATCTGTCTATCTTTGTTCAGCTCCTATTTTTTTTGGTTTCATCATGTGCAGAATGATAGGATACTAGCGCTTATAGAAGGAATATTAGCTGCCAACATATTTGACTGGGGATCCAAGGCATGTCTCGAATTATATCGGGAGGGTACCATTATCGAGATCTATAAAATGAGTCGAGACAAAATGCAGCGACCGTGGCGGGTACATATCTTTCACTTTCTTCAGTTGAGAATGCTTTCTTATACATTTGACTTTTAATCTCATGGCACGATGGACTATGAGATTTGTCTCCACTATGTATAATCCTGATTATTGCCCGGCAATCATGTGAGTGTCTATCAGGTGGATGACTTTGATTTGTTCAAAAAGCGTTGGATTGGTGAGGAAGGTGCTATCACACCAAAACCACATAAGAGAGCTCTTTTGTTCGTGGACAATTCCGGTGCTGACATTATGCTAGGGATGCTTCCCTTTGCAAGAGAACTTTTGAGACGTGGAACAGAGGTGAGATGCGTGTATTGTTTGCTATCTTTTGGAACAGTCATGTGTGTAGCCTAAGTTGTCCTTGGCCACTAGATCATTCTTTGTCTTTCTTTATCAATTCCATACATTAGATAACATGATCTTCTTTCTTTGTATAGTTCTCGTCATGATAACCTATCTCTAAAACGTACACGTTATAACTCACTTTCTTCGTGTAGGTGGTGCTTGTTGCAAACTCTCTACCAGCCATTAATGATTTAGTTGCCGCTGAATTGCCTGCCATCATAGCAGCTGCTGCAAAGGTATGATGTTTTATAATCTTTATCTCATATCGCACATGTTCAATATATGATTGTGTATATTGTTTTCAGATTACAAAGTCGCCTCAAATAAATACAAAGAGGGATTTTTAAAGTGCAAAGAGGGATTTAAAAGATAATCTGTAACTTTCCTAAATTTATTTGTGCAGCACTGTGACATTCTTCGGAAGGCCGCAGAAGCAGGTGGATTGTTGTTTGGACTTCCATCTACCAGTGATAATGATAGCCAAGAATGTCAAAATGGATCTGTGCCGCCGTTATTTGTAGTAGCAAATGGAAGCGGTAGTCCATGCATAGACTTCCGGCAAATTAGCTCCGAGGTTGCTGATCTAGCCAAATCTGCAGATCTGGTAAGTAATGTTATGTATCAATAGCAGCTTCTAATGTCTATATATAATATATTACTGAGTCTTAGCTCATGATCACGGCTAGAAATTTTTGGTTGCATAATTTTAGCTGCGAAATGCTATGTGATGTACGATAATTGCAGGTATTATCGTGAATAATGTTTTTTATCTACAGGTGGTTTTGGAGGGCATGGGCCGAGCTTTGCACACCAACTATAAAGCAAAATTTAAATGCGACGTTTTGAAGGTACGAAACAACTGATTGTGAACACATTTGAAGCTTACATCATCCAACTAAAAGCTGCATGTTATCCATTGCTTACTGATCAAACATTTTTTGATCCTTGCCATTGCAGCTTGCGATGATAAAAAATCAAAGGCTTGCAGAGCAACTAGTGGGGGGTAAGATTTACGATTGTGTATGCCGTTATGATCCAGGGCAAGAGTTGTAGGTATACAGCGAAGAAATATTGAAGTTCTTCTTACTGTGCTCTCTCCTTGAAATACGCAAAGTTGGAGCTTTCTATTAAAGAACAGCTTCCATTGGTAGTGGTCGAGATGTGCAAGTCTCGCCTAGTACGTCCACCTCATCCATGTATGTGAGATAGATATGTGTGTGGATGTTTTGGCTCTTATAAGACTATTAAGCATCGTCTAGTCCGTATAACAAAGCTGTTTTTTAGGGCTTTGCTCAGAGTTCAATCTTCCTGTCTGTCCATCACACGCACTAAAAATCAGCATCAGTCTTGAAAGTAACATTTTGTCAAATTAATGGATGCTTTGACTTGCTTAGTCTGAATTTGTTGAAAACCTGCATGTTTAACCAAGCAAAATATGACAAGAAATAAGATGGTGAGGTCGAAATACTAGTCTGCATAGCTCAATTGATAAAATTGAGATAAATAAATAAGATTGTCAAAGCTACCCTGTGATATACATACATAAATAACATAACAGCTCTCGGGGTCCTCTCTCAAAGAAGTCCATCCTTAAATATGTTGTCATATTTCTGCACTTGACGCTACCAATTACGCCGCATTCCTAGTCAAGGATCAGATAACAGGGTAACTAGGGAGTTTACACGTCTAACACTTACTCATCACAATCTATCCAAAGGATCACTTGACGAGTGGAGAAAACCTTGGACGAAGAGGAAGGTGACGTGTTGATGGTTGCAAGCAAGGAACATGAGCTCTTGGAGTCCATCAGAGTTCGGCCAACAAAGCTGGGATCTGCAAGGTGGATAACATTCGAAGAATACGGGGGAAGAGGCTGCGTCGTTGAAGTCGCAGTGGTCAACACTCCCTGATGAGAGCACTGCAAGGACATGGATCCGATTCTGTCGGGCCAACCCCCACTGTGAATTTCAAAACAGCAACGGTGCAGACGGTTGTGGGCATATTGCCGAAGAATTTGTGGAACTGGAAAGTTTCTCTTCTCGACCGTAAATAGACCGTGTTCCTCAGATTGTGCAAGCATATGGTGAACTCGGTTCGACCCTCCACTCTCCGTCAAAGCGAGGAAAGTTATCCTGCTAGTCGCGATTACCGCCGTTTACGCAACCTTTTCATTTTCGCTGATATGCCTCATCGGTTCAGTCTACACTTCTAAATTTCGGTGTGGTGCAAATCCAGTATCGAAGAATTTCTCAGTTTTCTGCAGACGCGACTTTACATCATGGACTGTTGGAGCTCAGTTTGTCGGCAGTTGACGAAGAGCATAAATGATGACTTGGATTGGGATATGGAATCTCGAATACTTTTCCACCAGTGAGATAGGTACCACCTGGTTCTGAAGTGCGTAGAGAGCATAGTAGTAATAATGGCATGCCGTCGGAATTTCCGTCGAAGAGACCTGCGGCGACAACGTGAGTGACCCGCCCAACTCTTGAGAGTAACCATCCTCCAGAAAGTGGGTAGCCGATGGTTTAATCGAAAAGAGCAGGAAATCAGCCTGATGCAATTCTCGATCTTCAAGATATCTTAGTTTTCTAGTGCAGCAGGAAGTTCATGAATGTGGACATTTTCAGCATAAAATAGATCAATGTCAAAATTAATCCTGATAGAAAAATCGTTTGAACATTCCAAAGAATAGAAACCGAGAAGTGCTAGAGCTCAGACAGATGGAGGTTATATGTGGCCTTATAGACAGTGGCAACGTCGAGAAGCCTTGAGCTAGAGGTGAATAATGCGAAGGAGAAGCGACCAAGAAACACCGAGGCCGGATCTGTCTTTCAAGAGCCGCCAGGGGCTTCATCTTTGTTTGCAACAATAAGACTATGGGCGAAGACTCTGAGCGACCTCTCTTTATTTACATTAAAGGTACCATGATTCAGTTAAAGCAATGTAGATAGGACTTCCATTATCCCTCTCCAATTATACAACACATTGCCTCCATGGAGTATTTGAAGCTTCAAGTGATGGTGGCTTGAACGTCGAGCCTGATGCATGGGGAGAAAACGAAGAATTGCGTAAGAACGAAGAAAGTCAATATCTCGAGATCCTGTCCAAGTTGGAGTGCGTTGTGCGCTGGCCAGAGTAACGTCCAGCTCTTGATGAAGAGAGGTTTCAAGCTACTTCTGATCGCAGCTATTAGAATCAAGACCAAGAGCTCCTCAAGTTAAAAAGGGCTTCACCATTTTCTTCCTATTTGTCGATTACAATTAGGAAGAAAATGATGGTGAGTGGAATTCAGTGAAAAGAAAAGGTAAGACAAGTCGTACTTTTCGTGCACCCCTACTAATGGATGCTATGCAGCAGCTTGTTGCAGATGTCTAAACGTTTACAACGAGATAAGAGTCCGAATATTCTTAATACTCTATTCTACTTGAAGCTCAGTGGTGTGACCATAATTGCCAGTGTTGCGAATAACAACAATCAAGGGTAAGCGTTAGGTGGTGCTTCAGAATTGAGAGTGTTGCGAAGAAAATAAGTTAACGCCCATAATAGTATTTCCAATCTGGATAAAGAGCAATTTGGCAAGACCAGAGGGATTATGCGCACCATTATGGATGCGACTATGTATGCCTTGAGCTTAGTGACGAGAAAAGCCGCGAACCCAATCCAATAGAAAAGACAGTGATACTGTGGTTGTTGAAGGTTGAGAAAGATAATCTCTTGATAAAGATGTGTATGACTTGGATGTATCCACAATACACATTCCTTTCAAGATCGACGATAAATCTGGTTTGATTTGCGAGAGAAGAACTAGAAATATGGATAAAATTGATTTGATTACAGATTCATTTCCACGCAGTGTAATATACATAAAATTGGCTATTCTCACCACAAAAAGTCATTACGGCAGAAATCAAAATGATAACTCCTAGAGTTTTTTGTGACTTGAACAGTGGTGAATAATTTTCAAGTGGGGAGAATTCTGTGTAGGCGTGAGATTGCGGATGAACGCGGAAAGATTTCCTTACATCTATTACTAATCCACATGAAAGTCCACATTCATTTGCTAACGTGTAGGAATATAACAATGTATGAAAATCTCATGATTGATATGAGCCTTGCAGAGCAATTCGCCTACAGTTGCCAATCTGATCATCTAGAACTTGATCATGCTCTCCCTATAATGACAACTCAGAGCCTTGAAGTATATAGGAAATATGCTTAGAGCCTTGATCAGAAGTTTTGTTAGACTGACAGATTAAGTCAAGTCCAATTTAATTTTTCAACAGTAAAAAAATTTATTTAGATAATTGTTGTACAATGTCAATTTATTAATATCAATCTGAGTCATCTTTTAAGAAATTCTTAATTATGATATATTTCATATTTTTATATTGATCAAATATCATCATGCAAATTTAAAAGATATTAAAAATAAATCCAATCAAAAAAAATGAGAAAAAAAATTCAATCCAATCAGAAAAATCCAATTGATCCTTGTATATGCATAAATAAAAGAATATCAGAATTGAAATGTACCAAAACTAGCATAAGTATACCTGGACTTAAATTAATCATTTCAATTTGAATGAATTTTCAGTTTTCAGTTTATAAATAAATTACAGTTTTGAAATTTAGAATCAGGTTCAATGCACAGCTATAATGGATTAATCTGATACAGATTGATTTAATATGATTATCATGAAAATTTTTCTTTTAACATATTTATACTTTTTATGTCAAGTTCACAAGGTCAAAATTTATGTGGATTAAGGTTTGGTATATGATCTTTGAGAGAATTATTTTGGTATTGACTTCTTAATTTCAGTTTTATCATAACTCTTTATGTTAGGGTTAACAGGTGTCATGGTTACTTGTAGGCTGCCGTTAACGCAATTTAGGATTTGACCGTGTAGGTTGCAAGTTTGACTCTGTTTCTTGGATTTGGCTCTACTACATATGGATTTAGTATAACTAAATACTAAACCGGCCACTCTCAACATTTTCAGTAAAAATTTGGTATTCTTGTGGATCACATTCTTTATTGTGTTTATCGTCCAAATTCTACTCTTTTGATTAAGCCGGAAGACTTTGAACATTATATTTTCAAAATCATCCAAATTTTAAAATCTGAATTTAAATGTCATATTATCAGACTAAAATTGGACATTTATTTCAAGTTTATTTTTCTAATATTCACACAAAATAAAAAATTTAGGATCAAACCTTTTGCTGAATGAGAAATATTTCAAACTAATTTTTATCTTTATATTCCTCTGAGTTAGTTGTGATAAGACAATATAAAAATTTTATAAGTTGAAGATATTTCGGCTCAATATTCAAGTAATTATATTTTATAATATAATTTTCTGATTATAAATTTTTAATAAATATTTTTCTAGAAATATATTGATTAATTTAAAATTTTATGTAAATTTTATTTTACATTTTATTTGATCTTTAAATTTAAATTTAAATTTTATTGATCATTTTATTTTGAATTTTAATTTCTGATCTTAAATTTTAATTTTAACCTAAAATTTTAATAAAATAACATCATATAATTCTAAATACATGCATGTTATAAATAAAAAGGGCAAAAATATTCAAATAAAATTTTTTTTATTCTTAAAATTATTCATTTTATTATTTATTTTCATCTATTTTTTAAATAAAAATAATTTTGTATTTTTTAATCCATCCACAAAAAAATTAAAAACAATCAACAAAATTGCACACAAGCTCAACACATGAAGTACAAAGTTTGACTCTTGGCTCTCCATGTATATATGAAATTTACACTCAAAAAACTCTTAATCTAGATCTGCTGAACTTTAAAGTCAAAACTAAAGTCTAATTTGGATCAAGCAAAAAATCAATAGACATCCAACTGTCAACAAGACATAACATCAAATTATTTGAACTTCAAAATGATTTCAAGATTAGAATTTCATTTAAATATATTAATTTTCTAAATATTGTTTGAAACTTAAATTACCTAAAAGTACTATCTCCATTCATATAATTGTTATAGCCATTCACGAGAATCGAGCATCCACACAAGAATGCAAATTAGATAAAGATCTATTGTAGAGAAATCCAACGAACAACACTAATGTAATGTGCGAGTAAACTAGCAAGTTCTTGTCCCCTTGGTAGCCATAGCTAGTGATAGTTATGTATTAAACCAGGATATTATGCACGGAGTATAATATAGAACTTAAAAAATCGCATTATGTTTTATTGTATTAAAATCTACTATGGGGCATACTCATTTGCATCATCATCTTGATCAAATAGTTTCAAATTCAACTGCTCAAAAGTCTTATCTGAGTCAAGAAAG